CTACAGCAAGTGACTCGCGGCCACTGACATCTGCTCGACCTACGACCGCGCAATCACGCGCCGGCACATATGCATCGCGACCCACGACGCGTCCAGGAACCGGAAGACCAGGCACTGGTCGGCCTGGAACAGCGCGTCCAACTACCGCCGCCTCAGCGATTGGCGGCGACTCTCACAAATCGAGCCATGTCATCGCATTGCTCGAAGGTCGGGGAGTTGCGAGGGAAGTTGGTATTGCAGCGCTCGATCGGGACACGGGAAGGGTGATGCTAGTGCAGGTTCGTTCCGTTGCTGATGTCTGGTGTGTCGCAACAGTATTGAAAAAGACGCCCTAAGCTTTCTGATTGCCCGACGTATGTGAAGACGTTGCACCAGATGCATCTCCACCCACCGATGATGGTGCTCGTCCCCGATACTTTTCTTTCTGCCACCGACGCGGCACCAAATTCCCTTCTTGTGGAGTACATCTACGAGGAGTTTCCGGGCGTGCCTGTCGAGCCTATTGGAAGGAAGTACTGGAACGAAGCGGGAGGTAGGTCATTGACAAAGATCGAAGTCGGTCTCCTGCTGAGCATTTCCTAGGACTTGAATTCATCTCACAACTTTGCGTCGAAAACGATGAACGTGCCGGAACGCTATTGGCGGTTGCCAACAAGTGAGGACACGCATATATGCATCAATCTATTTCGTGACACCCTCCTTCAGGTACTACGCGCTCTCTGCAGCCTGTGCGCTCTTCAAGCATGCCGAGACGAAGCTCAACACTCGCTTTGCGTCGGGATCTCTGCTCATCCGATACGTTCCTGTCGAGGGCACAATGATGATCGATCCCGACACGGCCAGAAATCTGGAATTGGTGGACAACATGTCGCGCAAGAAGTCGACGCACTCCTTGTTTGGGTAAACCGACATCGCACAACATGCAACGACAGTAGCTGATGGTATGGATAGCACTCTGCACCATTCTTACACGGCGATGGCCACCAGACTGCTAAGAGTTAACATCCTTTCTCCCATCACATGCAAGTCGCTCTTACAACCCTTTTTACGGTCCGCATTTGACGGTCCGCTAGCGCAAACCACAATAGATGCGCGACTGGACGTCGTCGAGGAGTTCGTTCAGTCCGAAGAACGATTCACCGAAGTACGCGCGGCACTGAAGCCGCTGAACAAGATGGACTTCGACAAACTCATTGCTTCCCTCGTCGCTTCGGAGACGAAGCAGAGCAATGCAGCAAAGTACGCGTCCACTCGCGTCTCGCAGATGCTTGAGCTACGCAATGCGGTGAGAACCCTGCCCATGGTGCATAGCGCGCTGCAGGGGAGTCAAGCACAGTTGCTGAGAATCATCCACGAGGTGGGGTTCGTTCGCTGGCCCTCCCGCATCTACTGAACAAAGCGAAAGATGCTTTCAGATGACAGAATAAAACGCATCGAGCAACTGGTCTGCGCGAGCTTGAACGAAGACAGCACTCCTGCCAAGGGCGGGATCGGAGCAGTCAACGCTCGAGTGTATGCAGTCAAGGCCAACTGCAATCGGCTGCTGGACGTCGCGCGCGAGACATACAAAGAGAATGTCGGTGACATCTTCACGCTGAGCCGCAATCTGTCCGATGCGCATGAATTGCCACTCGGACTGACGTATCAAGAGGGGGGATTCGTATTCACCCTCAAAAAGAGTGATCTGGGGGAGGGAGGGGCCCTGCCCAAAGGATTCGTTAATGCACAGATCAAAAAGGGAAAGTGGGTATTCGAATCTATGGATCTGGTATGCCATGTTGAGTGGCCCGGATCTGAGCTGATTGTGGCGAGCAGAAGAAGATGAACGCCCGGATGAAAGACGCACTGGACGAGACTCTGATTTTGAGCGAGAAGATTATCGAAGACCTCGTGAGCGACATCCTGCTCGATGTCGGTGCTCTATACAAGGCGTCTGAGGCCGTTGCATTGCTGGATATGCTCTGGTCGTTTGCACATACTTCAATCAGTATGACCCGGCCTGGATCGACAATAATGCTTACTAAACCCAGCCAAAGTGCGAAACTATGTCCGACCAGAATTCACCGGCACCCTCGCAATCAAGTCTGGCCGACATCCTATTCTGGAGACTATCGCATCAGCTGGGACACTGGTGCCTAATGATGTGTACTGCGATGACTCGTCCGCGTTCCAGATCGTGCAGGGGCCCAAGTGAGTGGTTCTCTGCGCAATGAGACTTGATGACGAAGTCTGCCAGCATGTCAGGGAAGAGCACATATCTCAGGCAGGTCGCACTACTCACCGTGATGGCGATGTGCGGTTGCTTCGTGCCAGCTGAATATGCCAGCTTCCGGTAAGCGCCTGTCTTCTGGCATCGAAAGTCATGTTCAAACGCACGACCACTAGCCTTCACGACACATTACTCAGCCGACTTTCCAACGATGACGATATGGAAAAGAGTCTGAGTACATTCGCGAATGAGATGGCCACGTCAGCCATGATTCTGGGTCTGGCAACGTCGAAATCGCTAGTGATTGTGGATGAACTTGGTCGAGGAACGTCTCCGCGCGAAGGGGTTGGAATCTCGCATGCCATTGCAGAGGCCTTGATTGAAAGTAGGGCGTTTGTCTTCTTCGCGACGTCAGTCATAGTTCGGCTTGCGTCTTGTCCTCGTCGCTCAGCCCACACCGTTAAGGCACTTTCACGAGCTGACGACAACGCTGTCAAGGAAACCTTCAGTCATTAAGTAAGCGTTTTGTGACGGTCAAGGAGGACATTACTCACAATGCGTAGTCTGCACTTGTCTGTCCAGGTGTGTACTGACAGACCGCCATGGTGTCTTGGAGTTCACACAAAGACAACAGCGGAGCACGAAATCTGGCTTTGGAGTCACATTTCAGTACAAGTGAGTCTTGGCTCTTCATCTATCCCCGTTTACTATCTTCCTGGTAGAATTGTCGATGGCGCGCCGCCCGACTCGAATCACTACGGCCTAGAGCTCGCCCGACTGGCTGATCTCCCAGAAGAAGTACTGATGGAAGGAAAGCGCGTTGCCGAGCGTTTGGCTGCCCTCCACATCAAACATGAAGGACAGAGCGAGAGCGGTCGAATTGCGGTCAGACGCAAAGCGCTACTGAGAGTGAGTTCGCTATTCTCGAGCGAATGCGAGATCGACTAGAGCCATGACAGTTACGCACACAATTGACTCAGGCGTATGAGCATTCTGCCCTGAGCGACCTCGACCTCGTTGCATACATTGCTCGTTTCCAGGTCGACATCACCAAAGCTTTCATCCATCCATCCCCAGCTTGCTGAGTAAAGTCCGGCCCGGAGAATGACTAATTGGTCCAGGACGATTAGGAGTTGTATGAGGAAGTACGAGATACGGCATCATTGACTATCGAAGGACCGTGGACATTACAAGAGCAGACCCATAGCTGTATTTGGATGATATTTGGCGTCATGATCATGGAGTCACAATCAATCTCAACTTTCTCTCTTTTAAAACGCGTTGAAATCTTTGTTTTATTCAAGGACACGAAGCGTGGTCGTGTTATCAGCCTGGAAATATTATCTATCACGGAGCACTGCTTGATATCCAGAATGATATGGCTTCTCTTACGAGAGCCAATCTCGACTCGAGTTCGATGTCCCAACTTCCAAGCACTCTCCCCCCTCCCTGGCCCCGTCCGAAAACATAGACCGCGTTCGACGCCTTTGTACAATCTCCATAATAGTTCTGGGGAACTCGCACTTCTGACTTGGGTGGCTCAACTCGGGGGTCGATCCCAGAACGACGATAACGCAAGCTGCGTCGCCAATCCCACAACGCGTCGAATGCGTGCGCAGCTAAGGTACCGCCTGTGAGATGTCGAATGATTCTTCGAGCGCAACTGGGGGAGCGAAGCTGGGAGGCGCTCCCTCAGGTCTACGCCTATTGCAGAGGCGAGAGCAGTTGTTGCAAATGAATATCAGACCCAGGGTTGTGACCCTTACTCATCGGTTTCAATTTCCTCCCGAATGAGATAGAGAGACGCCGGGGGAGAGCGTGAGTAGGAATGGGGAGTGGCCATGCTTCGATGGTGGTGCCGCCGGCACCGGCGTGACCTCCTGCGGGGAGCGGTAGCGGGCGCAGTCGAGGGCTTGGGTATCGGTGCGTAAAACTGCGCAGATGTCGTATCATCAAGATCAAGGTCGAGGTCCAAGTCTGTTTCAAGGTCCAAATCGAGATCGAGGTTGGATGCGTTTGAGGAACGGTGGGCCGGCCGCTGAGAGTGGATTGGAATAGTGGATGTAGGGGCGAACTAGAAGAAATGAGCACGATCCACTGGTGCATACGAAACGAAGAACATACGAATGTCATTCGGACTGCGCTCGATCTAATCCAAGCAGCGACGCGGTCGGCGCACTCCTGCTGATTCTCTATCTCCTGCCGCTGCACCGAGTCAACTGCAATGTCGGAATCATTCAAGTCAAGAGGCCCTCCACGATAAAGCTTGTGCGGATTAGGTTTGGGGACTGAGTTTGGAAGAGCGGGCACGTCGCCGCATGCGTAACGATCAAAGTCGAAGGTAGGTGAAGTTGTGTAGGAGAGCATAGGATAGGGTAGGGACGAAGAAATGTTGGCCCTAGTGCTAACGGAGAGAAAGACTGTCAGCAGCAGCCTGCATCTGGCCTTATAAAGAAGGCTGCGCAGCCGCCGCAGCGGGTGGGGTGAGTTGGCCCGGAGCTGATTGATGCGGAGTCATGGCCGGCTTGTCAATCAGTCAGTAAGCAATGCTGTGCGGGCGTGGGCGGGTTTACACGTGCTATGACGTCAGAGGTCACTCCTTCCTAATCTGATCGGCTCTAGAACCTCGCCGAACTTTCTCCCGTTTTCCACCACCGACGATGACCATCTTGACATCATCGCCGGTGGTGTATATAATCTGCGGCTTATCCACGCCACCTTTCTCAGATTCACTGTTATCACAATCTACCACTCGTACATCTTCTCACCCACAACACTCTATCACCTGAAGATGTTCTACTACCCAAGACAACAAGGCGGTTACGGAGGCTATGGCGCGCATGACCCCTATGCGGTGGCTCGGCAACGCGAGCTCCAACGTCAGCAACTTCTGGCGCAGGAGCGCGAACGTCAACGTCTGGCGCACATCCAGCGCCAGCGCCAGTATGAGGCTCTCGAACGCGAACGCCTCTCCCACCAGTACTCGCCTTACGGACCGTCAACCGATCAATATGATCCCGATTACGAAGAAAACGAGGATGAGGACGACTCGGAAGTCTACCAATACCTGACTCCTCGTCAGCGTGCTATGATGCAGGCGAAACGTCGTCAGTTAGTTATGGAGGACCAGCGTAGGGTCAGTTTCCCTGCCAGCTTACAGCATAGTCGTGGAGATGCTGACGAAGATTCACAGGCTCAAGTCCAAGCCCAGCGGCAGGCGGATGCGCAGCGACAGCGCGCGGCTTCGCAGTCTCCGCAGCGCCCAACTGTGCCCGAGGACGCTTCCATTCCCATTCCCAGCGATGCCGCGCCTATGACATCCCCTGAAACCACTCCATCTCCCCCGCCACATCTTTCCCCCACTGCCTCCACCTCTTCCTCCAAAACCACCTTCTCTGCTGAGCAGCGCGAGGAGGCGGCATCCACCATCCAACGCGCATTCCGCGTTTATCGCGCTCTTCGTACCATCTCCGATTTCGAAATGCGCTTTGAGGCTATAAGGCGTGAGTTTTGTCCACCTACGACGCTCGAGTACATTGTCGACGGCCAAGTCGTCTCTGTGCCCGTTCCACAGGTTCTATCTGCCATTCGATCGGACGCGGTTCCATCGGACGACGTGGAGCAAGAGGCTGCGCGCACACCGAAACTCGCCTACACCGCTCCTTCACGTCCTATACATGGCCACCTCGACGCTCTCTCTAAACTTCTCATCGCACTAGACGGCGTCGAGAGCTTCGGCGACAAGCATGTCCGGGAGCGGCGCAAGTCTGTGGTCGGACGCGTGGAGCAAGAGGCACGGGCTGTGGAGATTTGGGTTCGAGATGTTTGGGCTTCGCAGCTTCAGTCCGATGTGACGCAGGAGGAGGATGAAGTCCGCGATATGGTCGTTGACCCCGCTCACTCCGCTGAAGACCAGGAAGATGAGGATGACGACGCAGAGTTCGTCACACCGCCCGGGACTCCAGCGACCGAGCCACTGCCTCTCGTTGGCGACGACGACTTCGTGATGATATAGAGCCAGAAGTGATCTGTTATCGGTTTCATTGGTTGTCTACCACACATGTACAATATACACAATGCCTCATATATTCTTCATCTTATGTAAAAATTTCAATCCCACTCTGATTTAATGATTTGTATTCCATACACACGTCCTTCGACTGCACCAATACGGATTCTGCCGAGATTCGGACAAGACTAGGCTGAATGTGAAGTGCACCTGCAACGTTAAGACTAGGACGATACAGGCTTGGTCCCAGCTGGCTTGAAATGGTAATTCAGAGTCAATTGCGGACCCTTTACATCCAGATGAGGCGGACTGGACCTGGGCAGCGAGTGTTCAGCTTTCGACCAAAGAGGCTGGAGCGCTTCAGCTTTCGCTCTGAACTCGGCCTCACGAGTTTGAATCAGCCGTATCTCCCAGTCTGGCAGCTGCCTCCTCTCTAGGAAGATCGGCTCCGTGTAGCGATAAAAGTCCATTGGATCTGACTCCGCTGGACTGTTAGGGAGCCGCTTGAGTGCGAAGTCGACCGCAGGCTGAGCCCCTTGACGTTTCTTCTCCACTCGCTTCGTCGTCTTCAGTATACAAAGCGGCTCGAACGGAACTTCCATCCCTTCCGAGGGCCGGACCGCGTTCTCATTTACACCATGTTGAGTGAGCGAGAGTATTGTCTTGACGCGCAGCATGTACGGATGGCCTGATGTCTTGTCGCCGCGGACGAGAGTGACCACACCACTGCCTTGGGACTCTAGTCAGTCACAACGGCCAGCACCATAAACATTGTGAATCACCAGTGAAAGGACTCTTAGGCTTGCCCCGCTTGTTGTACCACGGATGAGTCACCATCACTGGCACCGGCGGATAGCCCGGGGGCAGAAGATATATTCTCGAGTACTCCGTCTGCCAGTCAACCGGCCAGCTCTGCCCAAATGCCGAGACCCAGTTGGAGTCCCGTATAACGTCGAGGTTCACCAAGGCCTTCTGCAGATGCGGCGGAGCGAACCCATCACGAACAAGAATCCCAAGGAGCTGATCCTGATAATGCGCGCGCGTGGCGATCTCGTCTATGGGGATAGCCCAAGGAAGTCCGTGAGGCATGAGCAGATCCTTTCCTTGCAGAAATCCATCGCGAGTCGGGGTGTCGGTCACTCGGAAACGGAGCCCTCCGTTGATCGGCGATTCTTTCGCAGGGGAGTGATAATAAAAGAACCCCCGCAGGTCCTCCGGCCACGGAATGTGGCTCGTAACGAGCTGTTGTCCAAACTGCCGCATGTGGGGATCCATTTTCTGGTCTCGTGCAATGCGACGGTATAGATTGATGTCGGCGAGCGCGGATTTAGAGATGTCGATGAAGTGGCGGTCTGTAATATTCTGAGGGTGAAATGTGTCGATGTTTTCGGGTAGCTGTTTGGAACGTTATGCCGTGGCCCGCTCCGTTCTTGAGTGTTTGAGTACCTTGAATTTCTGGATCACGTTGGGAGACTTGGCCTTGAGGACCGGACTCGACCAGCGGTACATGATTTCGTTGACATAGAAAGCCCGACGCTGGCATGTTGATGCGCTGTAAAGCGCGTGCAGAGCGCGCCGCTTGCAAATGGGCGAGCGCGTAAAAAGGTGCACCAAGAAAGTCATTCGTGACCAGAGTACCAAGCACGACCACGTGATCAAGCGTCCTTGATGGGATCAGCAACGGTTTCCCTCAGTGCCACCACCTAACTCAACTAGAAAGTGTTGGCTCTGCCAACATTATGCCTTGCTTGCTAATTAAATCCATATGATCAAATTTATATACAATAAAACAAGTAAAATACCAGTGCAGTTGTAACTAAGCGCCAGATGCTCTCGTCTTCTTCTTCAGGCTCTTGTCCATATCAGGCATTGCCGGCAGAAACTAGATGAGGCAAGACAACATCATGCAGTGTACGCGCTTGTGTGCGCAATGGTGGCATGTGAAGCAGCGCTGTTAGAGAGTGACACAAGCAGAAACAAAAACAGCCCACAGGTGGGTGCAAACTGCAAAAGAGAGTCATCATCATGCATGGAACTATAAATTACACTGCTTTGCCGCGCTATAATGCCAGCAACAGCAGGGAGCGTAAGTACAAAGATAAGAGTGAAGAGTGAATGAGACCATGACATACTCAAGACGAAGGTAAAATTGATCGGATCAGATGCTGGAGCAGAGTCCTCTGATTGATGTCATCATTGATGGGATCTGATTGATGCACGAATTTAGGGTCTGGAGAAGCCTTGACAAGCAAGGCAACTCCATATCCAATCGAAGTCTGAGACAGTGTATCACAGTGTTGTAGAAGATACGCTCGTATTATTTATTACACGAGAAATTGCCCATGACTCACGCTGAAGCTGAAAGTGCGGCAAGATTGGGTTGACTTTTCCCAGACCATGTCGAGGTCAGGAACCAGATACACATGAGTGGGTGCAATGGCCAGTTCTTTCTTTTCCGGGCCTCCGGTACAAAGCAGGATCGAAAGGCCGTTGAATGTGGTTGGACCAGGTTTCAACTCTACCCAGTTGCAGCTTAGTAATTCGGATCAAGGTCCGAAAGAAATCGGACTGGTGGTCATCTTTCCCAGCTGTTTCTGGTTACTCTGTGCCTTGGCTAGCTATGTCGGGCAGCCATGCACCGAGGTCCCCACCGCGGTCTGAAGACGGCATATTGACTATCTCCCAGTCAATCTACATCCTCGCGCCGGCCGACAGAGTTTGGGAGACGCTACTCGACTTCAAAGCGTACAAGGAATGGTGAGTACGGGGCTCTAATTTGCGCCCCAAGCACCTTCTATACCCCATCCCTTTGCTACTAATTTGCATCATTCGGCAGGAACTCTTTTGTGTCAGTTCGTTCCATGAAGCAGCACCAGCCAATGCCTGACACACGCCCTCGGTCTTAGCGACCGAGTCGAGTTTGTTTCTGACCAGCGAAGCACCGAGCCCAGTGCCGACCAAACCCCCGCCGTTGGCCGCAAGATGGTCATCTACCCCGTCAACCTGTCCTCCATCACCGCGACGATGCATACGCTCGACCCCGCGAACTTCCGCGTCGCATGGGAGACGGTTCCCGTTCTGCCCAAGTGGGCCCTGCACGCGGACCGGTGGCAGACGCTGACGCGGGAGGAGGTAGATGGGGAAATGATGACCAAGTACCAGAGCTTTGAGGTCTTCAGCGGCGTCCTGGCGTACATCATCCGCTGGTTCTTGAAGAAGCAGTTGAATGATGGGGTCAGATCCATGGCGGAGGCTCTCAAGACTCGGTCGGAGGGAATTTAGACGAAGAACGAGGTCGCAGCTGGTGATGCGGGAATTGGGCTCGCATCTCTTCCGAAAGTTGTTTGAGTCGACATTCCTCAGAGACCAGGGCAAGTCTTTCACTGTCGAGGGCAGTGCTCTTGGTCGGATATTGTTTGTCGGTCTTGCACGCGTAGACTCCTGAAGAACTGCGAGTCTCGCGTGCCGCCATTGAATCAAGTTTTTCGATTACCTTCTCTGCGCTTTGCACGTCTCATTCTGTCGCGTTTGCATCCAGACTCAGACCGTCTCCAAATTGTTTGGTGGGCGAGCTAGTAAACACCCAAGGAACTCTCTGACGCTCAGTGGCCATTATCGGCTTAATGTTGGGTCCTGCATGCTACACAACTGTTTCTCACCTAATTTTCATAAGCGGACATGTCAATCCGCATTGTTCACATTGGTAATACAGTTGGTTGCGATACTTGGGCCATTTGAAGCACATTTTTACACGGCATAAGCTGGAGACTCGTAATGCACCTTTTCCTCCGTCTCGTTCCCCTGGTAGGCGTACCCTGGACTCGGCAATTCTTCCGATTCTTGGGCATAGAAACTGGGCAGGCGAGTGCCCATATGGAACATGTTGGTCTCGACTTCAGAGGCTTGATTCATCGACTGCCCTCGGCTTCGCTTAGATCGAATCCGGGACGGAGTGCGAGTCAGTCCCTCTTGTATGCTGGACGCAGCGTCGTTGGACCCGCGCTCGTGAGTGATGGTGCGAGAGTTGAGCGTCGCTAGGAAGGACACAGCATACACTGTCTCAGCGAGTCAGGACGGATACTACTCTCGGCACAGGATGAATGAATACATACGCTTGGAGAGAAGGAAGTAACAAGCCGCAAAGATGAAGCTATGTTGGACGAAATCGAACTGAGCACGTCACACGTCAATGGCGAGGAGAACGACTGGATGAGATGGACGCACAGCGAATAGCGTGGCAGCGCTGACAACGGAGGTGAGCACGCCCGTGCTGATCGCCCCCATGACCAGTCGCCGCACTAGCGAATCCGAGCTGTGGTGCCCTGTCCGCATCCGAGACAGATAGAAAATCAAGCAGAGGGCAATGACAATGTCCGTCAAGACACCCAGACTAAGCGCCACCGTGACGATCTCCTGCAGGTCAAACACAGCCGTGATAGACTCGAGAGTGAAAGCGTGCACAGCAAACACTGGGAACTCCCTTCAGCACAGACTAAGCATCGCGTATCAAGGACTCGCACCCAAGGAGACAGCGAAATCAGCGAACGCAAGAAGGAGCTGGGGGACTCAGTTCCGGGTGTGCGGTAGCTGGAACGAGGGATCGACGTACAATGAAGGCCGTGATCCAGATGTTCTTGTCGCTGAATCGATAGACCCTGCTGGCAAAGGCGCTGTTCGGACTCATGAGGGTGTGTTCCATGGCGACTGACATCGTGACTAACCACTTCACCAGCGTGCCCGTGAACGAGCCGATAATCTCCTGCAAGATTAGCGACCACCATGCGGTACGCGCATTCACCACGGCGCGGAGACTTCCGCCCAGCCGCACCGAGTACATGTACACAAAGTGGCTGATGAAAGCCTGATCTGCGGTCGCAAAGAGTCTGGGAGCATACACATCGTTGGCGGAAGAATTGAAGGAAGCATGGAGTAAGCGCGTACAGTATCGCAGCGACCAGGAGTTTATACTGATCAGGCGCTCCGTCAGTCGCGACAGCATGAAGATACGAGAGCAGTGAAGGACCCACCCTGATGGCATCCCTGCCAAACCTCGTAAAGTACGACCACGCCTGCGTGAGCAGTCTAATCGGGCACGTTTAGGGAGTAGAAACCACAAGATGCATAGAGCACTTACATCCCAAATACGACGCACGAAGCAGCGAAGCCTATAACCACTGCGCCAAGAGTATTGTCCACCGTGAACCAACCGTGCACCCCGTGTCCAACTCTTGTCGTGATAGTGGTGTTCGACATGGTGGGACCCAAGATTAAGGAACACACGCAGAGAAAGGGAAAAGAGGGCAAAGAGACCGGAGGCGGGTGCAACGGGCAGAAGGCAAGTAGCGAATACCAAGAGAAATCTCCGCCTGTCGCGATTCCCATCCATCTAAGTACGCAACTCCTCCCCGGCTTCTATCTCTGTCGAAGATAGACGCACATGGGGACCGAGCAACGAAAGGGCATCAGCCGCGACCGGAGCGTGATTGTGGCAGCGTTGCATCGGGTGGGCAGATGGATCGCGGATGGATCACACGTCGTGACGTGCTTCGGCAACAGCCCGAACACGCGACACGTGGTCAGACCTGTGACATGGGGTGGATTCCAATATCCAACATGACGATTCGCAACGGGGTGCATTCAAGAGATTTCGCGTTTCACGAGCGACACATAGACGTGGTCGGAGCCGAGTCGATCCAGCGCTCCTGGATAACTTTGGTAGATACGGTTTCCTCTTCGCATTCGTTTTCTTACAATTGATTGACCTTCCATCGTAGTAATCATGCCACGGGCATTGAATTTGCCGGTTTTGCCAAAGACTAGTGACTGCATCCAGAAGACCAGAACATGTAGCCCACGCGAACGGGAGACCGTTATCTGGCTTTTCAAGATCCTAGCAGGTGTGCCTTGACGCCGGACCCATATGCGTGAGACGTCCAGCGGTCTGGCTGATTCAGAGTCTCGAAATAAACTGCCGGAGATCACGGTACGATATGCCGAAAAGACTGCAGCACTGCGGAAGCTGCGCATCTAGAGTAGATAGCGTTCCGATTTCAGCATCAACGACACCAGCGAGGTCGACCAAATGCGATTTCAGCAGCAACATGGCTTCAAAGGAGTCGAGAAAGCGAGGCAGGTCGAAGAAGGACGCAACAAACTTGTCGCATTCAAGCTGATTGGTCTCAAATCAAAGAACTAGACAAAGTGCTTGAGATCTCGTAAGTATCTCAGATTGGATACAGCCAGGGAAACCGCTTCTTCAGATCATCCGCGTTGTCGTATTACAGAGTTGGAGCCTTGCACGGCACGAGGTGAGTAACAGAAGAAGATATAGTGAAATCATTGGGCAGCAGGCACGGGAGAGGAAAGAGTCAGGTCTGTCATTTCCTACAGGGATTGCGCTGAAGGTAGTCGACGAATATTTAGGCACATGCCCTAAGAATCTACCTTCCACTATGACACGAGAAAGTCGGAAACATGGGCAGAAGGGATACTGTAATGACTCACATGGGGCCTGTATTTGTACTGCCGGTGCCGGAGGAGGCACGAGGCAGCATCCAGAACGTCGTCGCAGACCGCCCACGCGTAAGGTATCCCGTCATCTGGCTCCTGAAAGTTGCGAGCGAGAGTTCCTGGACGCTTCACCCACATCCCGGAGACGTCGAACGGTCGTGTCGACTCGATATCGCGAAACAAACTGCCGGAGATCATCGTCCAACACGCCCGGGGGACTCTGGATGTGTCATAGTATCGGAATATCATGTTGTAAAGATGCTTGTGAGGTCGATAACATCTCACGGCGTCCCACGTCAGGAGCTCAGTCAAGTGAGGGTGCAGCGCCTGGAAGGCTACGCATTTGGACAGTGTCTCGAAATCAACGTCAGCGACGCCGGCGAGAACGAGCAGGCCAGGTACGAGTTGGGACAAGGCTTCGACGGCGTCAGGAAACAGGGGCCAGTCAAAGAATGACTCGAGAAACTTCGCTGCTCCACCCGGGCTACAATCCAGTCCGAGCCGTAAACGGAAGTCGTCGTATGATTTCCTCATTACTTCCGAGTAGATCAGCCCAGGGAACCTCTTCTTCCAGTCGTCCTCGATGTCGAAATACAGAGTGAGAGCCTTAGATCGACTCAGAGATTGACCGCACAGGTCGAGCACAGGAAGCAGAGCGTTGTAGATGCCTGTCTCGTTGTCCTAGACAGCGAAATCAGGAGAATAATCGCCGAGAACGCAGCGACTTACGATGAGAGTGCCATACAAGTCCACGTAGACGATCTGGATGTCCGGCGGAGACACGACAGGGAGATGATCGAAATCTCGGGACGTGAAAGCAGGACCGAACATGCGAGTAAAGACAAGGTCATCTTCTTCTTGGGCGAGCAGCGAATGTTCCATCGCAATGAGCGCTATGTAATCCTCGGACCCGACGGTCACTCGACTGAGACGCTCTGGGGCCGGTTTCAGCGCAGGCTGTGAGGGCGGCTTTGGCGCAGGCTCTGGAACTAGCTTTGGAGCAGGCGCCGGAGCCGACTTTGACGCAGGCTCTGGGTCGGGATGGGGGTAGACTGGCGCACAGCTCCATCAAGGTCGAATCAGTCAAGTCGCTCACGTCTTGCTCAAGAGGACTATCGGGTGTGCCGCACAATGCCTACAGCCTTGCTGAGAGACAGAAAGACGGAAGAAACCTTCGACGGACCTGGCCCATTCTCCAGAACATGACCGTTATCGTACCTGGACGAGAGAGATGTGCGCGTGCACAGCAAAAACTGAGTAATCAGGAACCGCCTCGTTGCAAATGACACCCACCGCTCGACATCTCGGAACTCTTCGTGGAATGGCCTCAAAGGAATCGGCGTCTCTTCCATCTCGGTTATGTCGAAACTGACCCGAGCCGAGATAGCGAGCGGGACGCTCCAGTCACCCGGTGCGGGGCGTGCTTTCGTGCTTTTGAACGAGCCGAATGCACTCCAGCGCGAGAACTCGTGGTCCAAATCTGCGAAGCGAGGGCCGGCCTCTTCCATCTCGATCCGTTTACTCTCCATGTGTTTGCTCTCGACGGCGTCCATATCATCGGACAGATAGTATAGCACAGGCTCAGCAGACAAGGCGTCGAGCGCATTTGGCGAATCGAGGCCTGGCAGGGCTGTTTCAAAGACAGGTATGACCTCAAAAGCTCTGGTCGTGTCTACGACGCAAGGGCCGTGGCGCCAAGCGAATCGAGGCTGGATAGCAAGACGGGGACCGCACGCGCTTGCAATCGGAATGTATTGTTTCGGCAAGGATTCGCGATCGTTCACGGCGCACACAGGGAATACCGACGCAGGGAGGTCCGGCTCATGGATGTAAATGGACACGAGAGCCAAGTATCGGCCACGCGTTTTGGCACGGCGAGCGGCAGACGACAGGAGAGGAGAGGCCAAGTATGAGACCGAATCGACGGTCGAGGGCGATATCAGAGCCCACAGGGTGCGACGCCCTAGGTTCATGGGCATTGGGGAGGGTAGTTGTGTAGACTTGGATGGACTTTGCTCGCAAGAAAATCGCGAGTGAAAGAACAAAGCGATCGCTCGTCAGACCAGGATAGACTACCCCCGCGGGTCCGATGGGTACAACAGCCCCGAACCACGACAGGCTGAGTTCATTGTCGGCAGCACCATCAAAGTCAGATGCAGCCCACAAAGCTCACATGACTGACAAGCATGTCAATACAGATAGGAAATCAGATCATCAGATCCCGGACCGGGGAGCACCGTCGCAGAAGCAGAGCGCCGTAGGGCAGCAGGCACCATTGTCCCTCCGAAATAAAGCGACTGCATTTCACTGAGGGCTTTAACCACCCTGCTAGCTTCATCCGTCTACAAAATACTCTGAAGAAAATGGATGAGAATCTTTCCCATGTTCGCAGGAGGAACTTCGCCTTCGAGCGTGTCAGCCTTTCACAGTTTTTTCCAAGGGACTCTGATTTGGAAAAGCGGTCCGTTGAAGACATTCAATGCAGGAAGATTGACAAAGAGAGTTACTACAAGCTAGGCAGTGCTTTGTGTAAGACTATGCGGGTAACAGCGTCCAAAACATCGCCACAGATGGCCCAAGCGTGCTTTATGATGCATGTTCTTTCTTGAAAATTTGCGGTGAGCGTTCCCCATCGCCTGACCCACATTCCCGGGACACCGAATGATCTCACCGCTTCGATATCCTGAAATAAACTGCCAGATATTATCGTCCAACAGGCCCGCGGGATGTTTGATGTGTCATGGTAGCGGAAAATTCGGTCGTAAAGATCCTTGCAAGGCCGGTAACACCTCACAGCATCCCATGTGAGGAGTTCAGTGAAGTAGGGCTGCAGCGCTCGGAAGGCAGCGCATTTCGACAATGTTTCGCCATCGACGTCAACGACGCCGGCTAGAACGAGCACAGTCGGCTTGAGTTGAGACATGCTTTGAATAGCATCGGAGAACAGTGGCCACTCGAAGAACGATTCGACAAAGTGCTTGATGTCACCCGGCTCACAATTCAGTCCGAGTCGGAGATGGAATTCTTCATAGCATTTTGCGAGGATTTCCACATAAGGACTGCCGGGGAGTCGTCTCTTCAGATCATCCTCAATGTCAAAGTACAGGGTGAGCGCCTGTGATCGGCTCAGAGGGCATATGACCTGGTTCAACGCCGTGATTAATCCATTGTAGATGCCGGTTTCGTCGTCCTAGAAAGAAGATTGAGCCAAACAGTGTGAGTTCTTGATGAAAACTCACAATGAGAGTTCCATATAGATCGACGTAGACGATCTGGATGTCGGCCGGGGATATAGGTGGGAGCCAGTCAAAACCTTTATCCGGAAATGAAGGCCTGGACATCCGTGTGTAAACCAGATCATCCGCTGGAGAGTACACCGGGTACCCCTCCTCGTCGAATTCTGCGACAGGCTCGGGTTCGGGGTCAGGGTCAGAGAGATCGGCGCAGATCTCTTTCAACGCAGGATTCTCCAGGTCGGAGATCTCTTCCAGCAGAGGGTTGTCGGGTATGCCGCACAAGGACTTGAAAGCATGTAAGACCATGTCGCCTCAAGTGGACCTCCGTCCCACACTTGACCAAATCTCCAATACATAAGCTGTGTTGCGCTAGAGCGTGAGAGCCGGGCACGAATTCTTGCACGAGACGTTGAGTTCGAGTTTTCGAGGGCAAACAAAGCCACGACATACCGTTCGATCTCCGCAATTTCACTATCCAATTGACTCCGAGATAGTAGTTCCTGGAGAGTTTCGACGTCGAAACTGACGCGCGCAGAAATCGAGGCCGGAGCTTCCCAGGCACCAGGAGCCGCACACGCGCGTCGGCTCTTGAACGTGCCAAAGCTGGCCCAGGACGGGCTTTCATCACCCAGCTCGTCGATGTTGACACCAGCCTCCTTCATCTCCCGGAGTCGTGACGGCCGTATGTCGGCCACATAATCTCTCAATTCCGCTTCGTAGTCCTCGTCGAAATAGGATTCGACGAGCGATGCGTTGGTCGGATCGAGGCAGTTCGGCGACTCGGGCGGAGGAATGGGAGACACGAAAACGGACTGCACGACGATGATGTTGAAGGTGTCGAGAACACACGGGCCATGCCGCCATGGGAAACGAGGTTCGACGGCAAGGCGGGGACCGTAGGCGGAGAAAACCGGGACGTAGCTCTTTGGAAGCGGCTCAGGACTTTCGATCTTGCGTACCAGATATCCTCGCGCCCATTCTTGATTGTCGCCAAACATCCAGAGCAGGGCCAGATACACCCCGTAAGTTTTGCCGTGACGGCTCGTTGCAGACGTGAGCAGGGGAGACTTGAGATAGGCTACCGAGTGCGCCGTCGAAGGCGACACCGAAGCCCATGTTAGACGACCGGAGTCCATCAAAGTCAGGGGTTGAAGTCGATCTGCAGACTGCACAGCAGGTGCTCGCAAAGTGTGACTTCTTACAGGGGCACCGATGTGACGCGAGTGGAACACAACCACGTGATGTTCAATTTGTCCGTCACAACTTGGATCCGAACGGCCCAATTCACATAGCACGTCTTTGAGATGATTTTTCGATGCCCGAGCTCCAGGAGTGTGCCTAACATCGCGATATATCGATCCAGACTGCTCGCTGACTCATCTCCAATTCAATGCCATGTCATTTTTGTACAAATAATTCTCACACTTGACGCAGCGATGGAATGGACATGACCGCCAGAGCATGGATATCGGATCGCACCTGGCTGTGATTATCTCTTCAGTGACTCATCCTTCGAAGGAAATAGTCATCTACGTGTGTGCGTGAGACCCTCCACAGACTTCGGTGGAATGAATCTGACACATCGCAAAGGGGTTCGCATGTGGTCCAGAACCTGACTCGCACTTCTGAGAAATGAATCACGTCGCACACGCGGTTTGAAAGCTTCTGCGGGTGCCAATCTGTCATCTAGACGCAAGTAATGCACGGCAAGAGTCCAAAAAAGCTCGCATCAACCGCTACTTCTCACCGTACACACAAAAGATGAATACCTGTCTTCTGGCCCATTCAAAATCTCAAGCCCCGCATGGAACGCGCTGAATAATCAGTCGTAGAACAAGCATCGAAATCATGGGCGAGCGGGCACCGGAGAAATAGAGTCAGGTGTATCATTTTCCCCTCCGCATTGCATCAAAACTATGGAGGCTCAAAACTACATGCTGATAACCGAGACGCATATCAGTGATGCCATATGTTGTCGCAGACAATACCGCGCAGTGGAGATACGACCAGTAGCGATCACCTATAAGACAGAGTCTCAGCGAGTGTAGAGACACAGGAGCTATATCATTAGCTGTACCTATAAGACAGAGTCTATGGTACAAGTCATAAGTAAGGTCATTAGATCGTAAGGGAGAATGCATACCTCAGCGAGTGTAGAGACACAGGAGCTGAGGATATGGAGCGTATAGTACTAGGTTTATATACCAGTCTGGAGCAGATATCATGATGTCATAGTGGAGTAATGATATCATAGATGAGTAATGGATGACGCAATAATGAGGTCAGGTATGAGGTCATTGTGGAGCGAGCCAAAGTAATCTAAGAATACTACTTATGATGTCATGTCTACATACTGTGATAGTCGCTAATACAAACAAGCTTCAACATATGTTGTTGAACTACGGATCATATGTTATTATGTCAGGACCCCAAAGACCATGAGTGATGATCAGAACGATCACGTGCAATAACCTTGACGAGCTCGCTGACAAATCCATTGACCGACACTTGTCATCACGTGATAGATTGATTGTGGCTGCTTTGTCAGCTCAAGCAGCTTGCTACGTCATACTGATGTGGCCTCTGATCAATTGATCGCGGGGCCAGGGTGCATCACTGCTCGTCAGTACCAATATTTCGAATGTCTGGAGCATCGTAGTACAGCACTAGTGTTTTGATTCAAGCTGCAATGAAATTGAGGAAGACGAAGACAATGTCTGCCCTATGATAAGCTTTGAACTACAGAGCAAACTCTGATTCGGCGGGTCTCTCAATCCTTGCTCTGGAGATCACTCAACCCAAAGAACTTGCAGTACCCAGAGCAGACATGTTGTTCCGGAAACTTCTCGAAGAACGTCCCCGAGTTTCCGCCGCCGAAAAGACCGCGCTTCAGAGTCCTAGGGAAAATCAGACATTTTTAACAATGATTGATCCAAAACTTACGGTGAGGTCATGACTTGCGGGTCGGTCAGGAGTCCGCGCGATCCTGGAATCAAATGAGTAAGATTGTAATGCACGGTACATGTCTATGACCTTGCAAATCGGAAAGAAACACAAGTTTGCCGGTATGCTCGTATTGAACATGTTGTGTAAAGCATAGGAACACCGCAATTGGGTACAACTCCGGGTCAAGACTTGCAACAGGAAGGGCACTGTTGTTGTTAATGAACTTGACAAATTTTCCTGTTGAACAGTGAGGGAAAGTAAATACTTGTGACGGAAAGCTCGATTACTTGTCTCAATCATCTCCTCGATCAAGTAAGAGCGCAGAAGAGAAGATGTATTTTTGCTGGAACTTCCCGTGGCTGCAGAGTCGTGAACCAGTGCTACACCCGCCTCCACAAATTGAATGGCGTAGATTGGAAGTTCTGCGGGCGGCGAAGAATGCTTTGAAATGTAATCTCGAATGAACGAGTATGTGAAGTTCAGTAACGTTGTGCCCCAAAAGAGTAGATTGGCCTCTGAGGTTGTATGTTGAAACTCCTCAACGGGGCTGAAGCGCTTCAGGGTGTGCCTCTCGGTAAACATACGCTTAAGGGCCACCAGCTGATTTGGCGCTGCACCCAAAGGTGTCGACGAGAGTGACGCCAATGTGAGATAGGCTGAATGCGCGGATTTGAATGTTCCAACACCAAGCGGCGGCAGGAATGTCTTGAGGGACAGCGAGCCGACTTCCTTGTCAGCAATATCACAGGTGAAAGCTTTCGCGCTTTCGAGGACAACAGAAAGGGGAGCAGATCGAACGCGAAAAAATTCAATTGTTTCTGTGATGTGCGCAGCTATGAAACATGAGCATCGCTGATGTACAAATTGATTAAGAGATCACAAACCAGCTTCTCTTGAAGATGCGGGTACTGAACCACTCAAAGTAAGCGCTTTGGCCATGCGCTTGAGATCCACAGGGTGATAAACGTCCTCGACCGTCTTGATCTCATGAATATCAAGATCATGGCCTGGCCGCTGCCGTTGCGGCTCATTATCATCTTCAGCGGATCTTTTCTTTGATCCGGATCCGACGGATGAGATTGTGGCTGGCTTCTGGCTCTTATATATGTTTCAGCCCCGAACAAGCCTGATGACGGTTCAGAACTCACAGTTTCCAAGATCGAACCATTCTGGACGCTGGACCGAGCGCTTAAGGACTGAAGGGACGATTCCATTACTTGGATGCCAGTGGTATCAGCTGGAGACCATTGAGAGCGGTCTGAATCCACAGCACTCTTATCAACAAAAAAAAATTGTGAATTAATGTTCGATATCAATCTCAAAAACGTACCTGGGACACTTTTTTTTGACTAAGAGTTGAAGTCTTGGAACGCGTCAATCGGAAAACTGGTGCTTCTAGAAAGGCGTCCACTGTGGGATCCGGTCTGTGACTTGACCTTTCGCTGACACTTTCAATCTGGAAAGGTTGGATGAGAGTAATAACTAAAATTTAATGGCAAAACAAACCTGCGATACGGCATCGAAATGATCCTCTTGGAAGTTCAAAAATCGCTGCCACTCTTTAGAATTGATCACCAAAACGTAGAGGAAGGGCTTTGAAGGACGAGAGTAGACAAGTTTGCCCTGATCAGCGCGACTTCTTCCCTTCTTCAGGCAACGGTTGTATAAAATCGGTTGATCAGGCAGTTCCTCGTGGATGTTGATCCAGGTTTCGGCCTCTCTGACCACAAATCGGCTCTCGTCAAAAGTAAACATAGATTTCGTTTGATCTGCAATCTCTGCACGTAGCTTGGCTGTGGCAACTTCGATCACAAGTTGGATGATCTCTGCCGCAGTCGCTTTAGCATGGACGTTCTTTCCCTCGCTAATTGTCTAGAATTAAGATTTGAGCGTCGAATTAAACAAGCGCACAGAGATTTGAGTGCATACCCCAAATGAAACACCGTTCTCCTTTCCTGGAGCCTCATAACGCACACCGATCTTCACAGTAGCGATCTCCTGAGGCGTTCCAGAGTAGGCCATTTGAGCCCATCGTTGCCGAGACGGAAGATATTGTTGGTGCGCTGCGGAGTATCCTTTAGAAGAATACTGTTCCGTTCCTGCTTGATGTCTGCCCATATTTGAAGAACTTGATTTGGGCAATGAGAGACGAGGACCTGTAAGACGAAATTATTCCCATAAATGCACGATTCAAGCTATATGAAGGACGCACCAGAGGCAGACCCCTGTCGGTGAGGAACGAACTGAGGGGGACCCATTGATTCTAGCACTTGTGGAACTGCCGCAATGACCCCAGCTCGAGATGCGTCTGAGGCTAACTTGAGTAAATTCAAAGCGAGAGGACGAAGCTTACCGCCAATCCGTCCTTCAATATTCTGCAGTCGAATGGAATCGCGTTCACGCTCAAGACTGACTTTTGTAGGTGCTAAGAGGCATGAGTCACAACGTATTCACTGGACATCCATGTACGCTGTCATAGTTCGACCACTTTTTCATCTTATCATCGACGATCTTATCTTATCTTGGCACGACTTATCCTATCACGGATCACGGCATCAGACGGTCCGGGCTAGGGGTTCCAGGGGTTATCTCTATCAATTCGAGGCTGCGCGACATATGCTCCGGAAGGTTCTAGTACAACCCATGACCAGCGTTCCATGCGGTACATAGTCTTATGACTCATTAGTTGTAGATATGACTCAGACTGGATTTGGGTATAAATACTGTAGCTACCCGGTTGTATTCTCCAGTCTTCGAATTCACTTCTCTTTTCGACTTTGTTTTTGGGTTGATTGTCACATACGCACCTCCAATTGTACTTGATGCCTTGGTTCGGTAATGCTCGTGACAAGCCTTGCAGACGATTCTGCTAGCCGATGTCGAGGACTGGTTCCCAACTCGATAACGAGGATGATCAGGCATGATAATGTGACCCTTGTTCAGATCTGGACGAGGCCGTGTGTAACAACGAGCACCAGATCGACACTCAAAGGGTTCTTGAGTGGAAATGTCATCTGTGAACGTTGCATACACCGTTTCGCTCGACATTGAAGCCAGGCTGAGGAGTGAAGTTGAAATCGTGCATTTACAGTACTTATAGTGTAGCTCTCTCTGGCCACGTTCCTTGTACAGTATTTGTGATTCATTTCGGTCAATTTTTGGTCGGCGAGACCCTCCTAGAATTTCCGATGTATTTATGGCCATCCGAATTCAACCGAGAGGCAAGTCCTTGAATTTACGAGCGGATCCAAACTGGATCAACATGTGCCATCACACGTTTCCAAAATTGAGCTATGTACGGTAACTTACCTTCCATTGATATTAGCCGAGTTCCGGTGCGCTCCGACAGTGAACAATGTGCACTCCAACCAAGGAGAAACCAGTACTATAACTGAATTTTATTTCAATCTTACTCCGTAAAGTTACGCGGGGAACCACACTTTGCTTTGGGATTGGTTGGTAATCATGACTTTGGGACTCCGGAGCGCTCCGTAGCCATGCAAAATTCGTTCTTATAAATTGATTCATCGAACCGCTTCCCTTCTGCAGTGTCCCATTCCCTCTTCACTCTCAACAAACATTTACCGACTTGTGCATGCCTAAAGCCAATCAATATAAACCCGTCCGTATGTTACCAACAAGACTTATCAGCTCGATTTCACGGATATTCTAGCCCCCTCTGAGGATCTGCGGCCATTTATTGCAAAGTACTGGAAACAAAACAAGAGCGATGTGGAGATTCTCGCACTACTCAAGAAGCATCATATCGATCTAGCAAAATACGGTCTAGAGTAAGTCTGCTTGTTGCCGTACATACTCCTCCTCTTTCTAGCTGAATATCGCTTTCAGGATTGCTACGTTTCGCAAAATTCGAGAGAATTTGGGATTTCTTCGTGCTCGGAGACAGGGTCACACGGTTGAGTCCATTGCTGGAGCAATCACTAAGCTTCGGGTCATGTACCCAAAGGCTGGTGGGCGAGAGATGGTCAGTTTACTGTTTCACGAGGAAGAAATCAATGTTTCACGGTGCGTCTATCCTAATATTTACAGAACATGACGCTGATCTATTCAAATCTGGGTCTTGTTTCGTCCAGCAAGACTGTAATGCAGTATTTCCATATCTATGAACCTGACCTTGTTCGCGAGCGTCGTCGTGGCCATTTCAAACGCAAGAGATTCTGGGCAGCTGGCTCGAACAATGTCTGGGCTGTAGATCAACATGACAAGTGGAAATACAAATTTGGTCTCGCTCTCCACACCGGGATCGATCCATTCCTAGGCCTGATTCATTGGATGAAGATTTGGTGGAATAATAACAACCCAAGACTCATTCTGAGCTATTATCTCGACGCAATTGAGACCATCGGATGTACGTGATTGCTCTTCTCCGTGTTGGCTGTGAATTGACAGATCCGAAGTCATGCCTCTCGTGACTCAAAGCGATCCTGGTACAGAGAATATTGGTATTGCAAATGGACACACACAACTGCGGCATTATCAAGATCAGTCACTCGTTGGTACATCTCAACACCGATGGATGAGACAGAAGAAGAACGTTATGCCCGAGATCACTTGGAGCCAACTGCGCTGTCAATTCACACCTGGCTTTGAGGACATACTCGAAATCGGAGTCAACAATGGTTGGTATGATCCTGGAGTGCTTATCGAAGCGTGCGTACATGTTCGATCTTTTGTCTATGTTCAAAAGCCTTACAAACTCAGTCTTATTTTCCGTTGGGTGTTCATCCCCTGGCTCCAAGCCGAACTTGAACTCTATCGCAACCGCATCAACAACACTGCTAAACGCCATGATCGTAACAAGATTCTTCCTCACGGTGTTCCAAACCATATGTTCGAATACCCAGAGGACTATGCAATTCTTGATTTCAAGGTCTGTAATTTCACATCGATTTCTTGCATGTTCAATTGATTTGAGAATTTACAGATCAAGATTGATCCTGAGGGTGTTCACAAGGTTCGAGCTATGTACGCTCCTCCTGATCACAAGATATTTCACCTTGTTCCTCCCGAATTCCATGACATGATCTCTGGGATTTATAAAAGTATTGGTGAGCCAAGTGTCAACAGAGAGTCATGCTGGGACGTCTACCTCCAGTTGCTTTCTGAATTCCGGACGCTTGATGAGATTCACGGTGTGGATGTCAGCGCTAATGAGAATTGGGGTTATGCGCTCACACAAGCATTGGACAACTACAATGACGAAATTCAGCCCATCCCCGGTCTCAAGGAACTACGCGGAGGTGAAGGTGTCATTGGTCCAGATGGCGGATATTATATGGGTGGTGTAAATCAAGGTGATGGTTTAGGTGCGTGCTTATTGGATTTTGTGTTCTCTGAGACTTACAACTTTCTAGACCAAGGCTTACGGTCTAAATTGAACCAGATGATTGACGACGTAGAGCCCAATGTCAATGGTGATTTGCAAAATGAACCTTCCACATCGGATGATTTATTCGCATGGTTTTCTGATGAAGAGGAGTCTTTAGCGGCAGCAGAGGGTGATTGGTAGCGATAATTGTACTGTATCTCTATCTATTCATTGACGAGCAGTGATGCGCCCTGGCCCCGCGATCAATTGATCAGAGGCCACATCAGTATGACGTAGCAAGCTGCTTGAGCTGACAAAGCAGCCACAATCAATCTATCACGTGATGACAAGTGTCGGTCAATGGATTTGTCAGCGAGCTCGTCAAGGTTATTGCACGTGATCGTTCTGATCATCACTCATGGTCTTTGGGGTCCTGACATAATAACATATGATCCGTAGTTCAACAACATATGGCATCACTGATATGCGTCTCGGTTATCAGCATGTAGTTTTGAGCCTCCATACAAAACAGTTGACGAGTCCTACGAAGCGATCAACCACTGTGACACGGAGAAAGTCAGGAACAGGGTCAGAAGCAATACTGGAATAGCTCACCTTAGAGCTGTGCGCATATTGCCGGTTCCGAAGGAGGAACGAGGCAGCATCCAGAACATCGTCGCAGACGGCCCACGCGTAAGGAATGCCGTCATCTGGCTCCTGAAAGTTGCGAGCGAGCGTCTCGGGACGCTTGACCCACATGCCGGAGACATCGAATGGTCGCGTCGATTCGATATCGCGAAATAAACTGCTGGATATCATTGTCCAACACGCACGCGGAATTCTTGATTTGTCGTGATATCGGAATATCATGTCGTAAAAGTGCTGGCTAGGTCGGTAACACCTCACAGCATCCCAAGTGAAGAGCTCGGTGAAGTAAGGTTGCAACGCCTGGAAGGATTTGCACTTGCAAAGAGTTCGGATATCGACATCGACAACACCGGCGAGAACGAGCAGACCCGGTCTGAGTCGAGACATAGCCTCTATAGCATCGGGAAACAGGGGCCAGTCGAAGAACGATGCGACGAAATTGGCCGTTCCAACTGGGTCCGAGTCTAGTCCGAGTCGCAAACAAAATTCACCGTACGATCTCGCCAGGATTTCGGAATAGATTGAGCCGGGACATCGTTGCTTAAGATTATCTTCGACGTCGAAGTAGAGCGAGAGAGCCTGGGATCGATCGAGAGAGTGGATGGACAGTTCTAACGAAGGAGCTAGCGCGTTGTAGATGCCTGTTTCGTTGTCCTGGGATGCAGATTGAGCCAAGCAGCAGGAGCAAGTCCTTCACGACAACTCACAATCAGGGTTCCGTAGAGGTCAAAGTAGACAATCTGGATGTCGGGCGGAGATACCGGCGGGAGACGGTCGAAACCTTTGGATGTGAATGGTAGACCGGACATTTCGGCGAAGTCCAGATCATCCCCTTCGGGATAAAGAGGAAATCCGTCGGGGTCGAGTTCCATGGGAGTCTCCTCTACGGGATCGAGGTCGTCATCCACGAGAGCAGCACATAGATCCACCAAGACTGCGTTTTCGAGGTCTTTCACTTCCTCCCCTCGAGGGTTATCTGGTGTGCCACACAAGGACTTGGATATCGATCGAAGATGAGCAACCGTGCCAAGCGGGAGGGCTTCCTCACACCTGCGCCATTCTCCAAAACATGACCGCCGTTGTGCTTGGTCGGGAAAGATGGGCTCGTGCGCTGGAGATACTGAGTAGATTGCAAGGACGTCGAGAGCGAAACCCACCGCTCTACGTCCTTGACCTCTTCGTGTAGTCGAGTGCTGGGTGGTAGTTCCAGCACAGATTCCACGTCGAAGCTGACTTTGGCGTGAATCCAAGCCGGAGCGCTCCATTCCCCGGGAGCAGGACAAGCCTTTGTACTGTTATACGTGTTGAAGTCGGTCCAATAGGCATACTGCGCCTCTGCGAGAGCAGTGTCAATGCCGGCTTCTTCCATCTCACGTACGATCCCAGCACGTCTGTCCTCCTGGTCTATATCTCGAAAGACATACATGTCCTCATCGAGATAGGCTAAAGCAGGATCGGCATTGGTCGAGTCGAGGAAATTGCGCGACTCAGCCTGTGCGAAGGGAGATTCGAAGACAGGCTGGATGATGAATGCTTTGGACGTGTCGACAACACAAGGGCCATGGCGCCAGGGAAAGCGAGGCTCGATGATAGCGCGAGGGCCACAGGGGGATGCGACCGGAATGAACAACCTCGGCAACGCTTCCGTTCCATTTACGGCAAGCACCGGATAGACTGCAGCTGGCATTTCAGGCTCGTGGGCCTCGACAGATACGAGAGCCAGATATCGACCATGTTTTTCAGCGTGCCGGGCCGCGGATACGAGCAGAGGAGACTTCAAGTACGCGACCGAGTCCGCCGTCGAAGGGGAGACCATAGCGAACAAGATACGATATTCTGGCTTCATTAGGGCCTTGGAAAGCCTCGAACTCTCGTCGTCAAAACGATGGGTCCGCTCCAAATCGTCGGTCAAGAACCACACTCAAGAGTCAAAAGGACGTTGGGCCGACACACAGACCTGCCTTTTTGGGACGCTTCGGCATTTTGCCGAGGATGATTAATCGCTGATTCCTGATGACTCGGAGACTTTGCCGCAGCTCACGTGAGTGCCATGCAAATCGATACAAGTCCACGAGAAGCTTGTATAAACAAATTGAAATTGGAAAGCCAAAAAAAATGAGTTGTATCAATGCATGCAGATGAGTGAATGTGAACTCGTAATATCTGTGTAGACTACTCATATGCATACTGCACACAAAGATTATGTAGATTGTAGTGGAGCAAACGAGGGCAGAGTACTCGCTAAGTAAGCCTAGTAATGCTAAGTAATTGATAAGTAATATTCTTTGATATTCTACAGCAATGCAGACATTGTAAAGTACCACAGCTATAACTAAGGAGTATTGGTTACCATACATTACAACTGTTACTTTGAAGAGGTTCAGGCAAGGGAGGAAACATGATCCCACCTGCAAAGCTCTCTGCCCGGCTTGACTTAGCGGCTGGGTGGCAAAGCCTGTTGACCTCTGTCTTGAGGCAGCGTCGCAAGCGGCTCGGGGATCGATGGCGGGGCTGAAGACAAGTATGAAAGCTGACAATAAATTGGGACGCACTAATGAAAGCAGGGGAGGAGGCGGGATAGATTGTTTACGACTGTTTTCATTACGAATCTCTGGAGTCTGAGGCCGGGAATAAACAAGGTCACGCGACCTTGAAGAGATGCATGATTTGCCGCCCTTGCCTTGTTTCGGCCATCATGCGGCAGGCTTCCCAAAAAGGCAGGTCTGTGTGTTGGCCCAAAATCCGAGTCAAAATGGTCACTGGCGGTGATTGATCACATCTGTCACATGCCGCCTGGTCGAACAACGCGCAGCGACACGTGAAACACAATCACGTGCTGTTCAAATTGTTCGTTGATCCGAAATAACTCGATTCTTGTGGTGCATCTTCAAGATACTTGCTCAATGATTGGGCCAAAGTATTTTAACACCAATTTTCCGATATTTGGAAATGCGCTGCTCCCTGACTCGTCTCCAGTCCCATCCCAAGATACAAAATTGAATTCCATGAGCCCAGGTGATTCCCACACGTCACTGAGGGATGGAATGTGCACACCAAACCGAGAATAGGACTTGAATAATTGAATGAGACGGAACAAAAGTAGTTCATACACTTAGCACAAGTCGCACGATCTCAAGGAGTTTGTCATAGTTCGACCACTTTTTCATCTTATCATTGACCATCTTATCTTATCTCGGCACAGATTATCTCTATTGATTCGAGGCTGCGCGACATATGCTCCAGAAGGTTCTCCAACAACCCATGACCAGCGTTCCATGCGGTACATAGTCTCATGACTCATTAGTTGTAGATATGACTCAGACTGGACTTGGGTATAAATACTGTAGCTACTTGGTTGTATTCTACAGTCTTTGAATTCACTTCTCTTTTCGACTTCATTTTTGGGTTGATTGTCACATAATTGGAAGACTCCCCTCATACCCTCATACCTCTTACCTCCTACCCTGCATCCCTCACCGCTACGCCCGCTATATCCTCTTAACCCTTATCAACCAACTTACCTTTTTACCAAATCATCTAGTCGTCCTCCACTATCGCAGTGAAGGGTTCATATCAAGCAAACAGCACCAGGCCACGGGTAATGTTGAGCCCAACCCAGGCCTTATGGTAGCTACAAGGAGTGCTGCGGAGACCTTCGGGAAAACGCACCTCGGGATCATCGGGCACGTGAAGAGCTAGGCCCGGGATCTTTTTGCTAGCAAAAGAACCCTCCCTCAAGTGCTTGTACAGCACACGAATCCACCATTTTGTTCCGATTCCCTTCGTCGTCTGGGAGTCCATCTCCTCCTCCCATCCTACCATCATCGCTCGATCTGGCACACCAAAACCAACCCGGGACCTCTAATCCCTACCTTGCCCTCCCGCCGCCTGAAGACGAGATCCCGGACCTCAACGAGCTACCCTCCGAACAACCACCTACCACGCCTGCCCCTGTCATGTCAGGACATCACCGCATCACCCTCGCCGCTAACCCCCCCTACTTCGATGGCGACAAATCCAAATATCTGGGCTTTGTGGACGCGTGTACCACCTACATTGGTGCCTACCGATCAGAGTTCGCGCTGGACAAGACAAAAATCCTCTTCGTCCTTTCCTACCTCCGTAATGAGACCGGGACAAGCTGCGCCGCCTCAAGATGGGCGATGAATTGGAAGCAGCACAACTTCGAGGGCTTCCAAGGACTGAAGGCGGGAGTCACCGCGACAAGCTTCTTGGAGGAGCTCCAGAGGGCCTTTGGGGATTCTAACGCAGAACAAGTCGCTGCCGCCCGACTCATGGCCCTTTGCCAGGGCAGACGGTCCTTTGCGGACTACATCTCCGACTTCGAAATGCTGGCTGCAGACGCGGGGTACAACGTGGTCACCTCCACCGACAGCAAGGGCGAGTACAAAAAGGGGGATCAGGACAATATCCTCATTGAGTTCCTGGAGCGCAGACTCAGCAGCAAAATTGCAAGCCGCCTCTACAACACCAGCGTTCCCCTGCCCAAGGCATATGGTGCCTTCAAGAACTGGTGTGTCAACATCGAGGCCAATGCTTTGCGCGATCAGCTGCGTAAGGCATCCTATGCACACTCAACTCCGCGGCCCCCTGCCCAATTCCGCCCTCAGGCTGCACCATCAGCACCTGCACCTGCTCCGGCCCGACCGGCGGCCAATGAACCGGTTCCGATGGAAATCGATCGCACCCACGCCCGCGGCCGCAATATCATCTGCTACAACTGTCAGCAGCCTGGGCACATTGTGCGGAACTGCCCGGAACCAAGGAAGAAGCGCACATTCTTCAATCGGGCCACGATGCTTGAAGAGATCGAGAACGGGGACAAGGACAACGAGTTCCTCAAGGAGATCGCCGAGAAGCTGCGCGAGAAGGGTTTTTGAAGCGCTTCACTCCTCTAGCCAAGGAGGTGGAGCGTCCGGACTATGGACGTTTTTCTGTACTTGTTTCGATTAAAGATATGAACAATTCTCCTCATACATACACGATCTCAGACTCCCTACGTACTAATATTGTTGTAGAATATACGAGATCAATTACTTATCATTACTAAGCTTACTTAGTAATTACTAACGACCTCAGGATTATTCTATAACATTCTAGATATTAGTTACTCATAGTATATTTCGGAGCAGCAGTTTACAGAATAAAGTTAAGTTCTCATCTTATTACTTCAACAGGTTATGGGCCCCGGCCTTAACTAACTCTATTCTCAATCAACTCGTCGCTCTCGCTCTCACGCCACGTCACTAGGGCTCCGCCTAATCAGCACAAAAAGATTCGCCCTCATCATACTTCTTTGACAGTTGACACATCATGTCAAGCGACGCATCGACCTCAGCATACCGAATTCAACATCTCACGGGCGAAGACAACGTCCAAACATGGACCGTTAAAATGACAGACATATTGACAGACATGGGTTTATATGGTTACCCAACGGGAAGAATCCCTAAACCAGCCGGATCAGCAACTGACTCAAATGTCATTGCATGGGAAGAAAAAGACCGACGCGCGCTGTCTGCCATCAGACTTCGCGTGGCAGATGGGCCGCTGATTTACATCACAGACGCTGTAACATCTAAAAGTGCATGGGACACGCTGATGGACACGTATAAGGTTGACCAGATGGGACATGGATTGTTTTGATTTCCAGAGACAGGCAAGTGGTCGGGGTCTTGGGACCGCGTTACTTTTCGCTTTATACCTGCTTACTAAGAGTGTCAATGCTGACGCTACGAGCCCGTCGTCAGTCGGCATCAGTGTTGGGCCGACGCGGGCGACGCAGCTCCCGGGCGTAAATGCTCAAAACTCTTCCGAGTCGCGCATTTGACGCAAGTCACAGTGGACAGGGACATGTACTCGAGTACAACCGTGCATTAGGTGAGGCTTCACATTCTATGCGTCCTCCAGGGTTCCTCAAATTCAGCTGCAGATTCTTACCGTCAAGATTTATTTTATTTTAAAGTTGGAACGCAGTTGATCTTACCGTCAAGAACAAGCGGAACTGGGCTCACTGAAAAGTGCTGCGGAGTGAGTACTCCTGCCGCACTCCAAATACTCCACATGATTGATCTCAACAACAACGAGGACAATAGAGGACGATCAACATGCTGTCCACGTCTGCTGAGACGCTGATCGACGTGGGAATGATCCGCGCAGCCAACGGGACTATTCCAGACGCCGTTCTGAACGACGGCGTCACGGCAGCGATGGAGATCTCACTCCTGCGGCACTCCAGAACAGTGTGCCGCAGACTCCACAGCACTGTGGCCTCGGCGGGACATCTGGCAGCGCTCCAGTGTGACGTATGTGACACTCTGTGGCCCTCCAAAGCACAGCCACCCTCCGGAGACCGCCGCAGGCACACCCAACGCTGTCTGTGCTAGTCAATCCCCGATATTTTAACATGGATTAGTCGAATTTTAATAGCATTCAATATGTAGACGTCCTGAAAGTCTGTTTTTCGAATCATAGGTCTCTATGATGCCTGGGAGGTGATTGTCTCGAGCTCATTGACTGTCGGAAGGGTGGTCTTGACTTAAAATTACAGAGAGCATTTTCTCATCACAAACACACTCTCATTGATTTCGAGTACCACCTATTGGATACGATTTACGTTCGAAATGGATACAAAATGAGTTATCTCGGTGCGTCACACTGTGACCGTACCAATCAACGAGACCCCAATGGTTGGATCATGATCGCGCTTACCAAAACAATCCATGTCCCATCCGGTCAACGTTACACGTACAAGTCAAAGGGGGTCATCGGCATAGTTTTATTACGGCGCAAACTTGCCCGTACCACCTGCACTGAAGGCGCCGACATCGAGGAACACATCAGATCACTTACGTCCATACGCACGCAGTTAGCTGCACTTGGCTCCAAAGTAGAAGACAAAGAATTCTGCATTAATATTCTCACATCACTACCTGACTCGTGGGACGCCTTCATCCGAGGAGTCGACACATCTGCTCTCACGACACCGGCTCCACTGATTGCACGCATTCTGGAGCAGAAGCATCAAATTTCGGAACGATCCAGAGCAAATGAAGTCGCCCTCCCAGCACGAAGTCACACCCACCAGAAGAAAAACAAATACAGCAGAGATATTAATTGTTTTGGATGTGGACGACGAGGCCACATCATTGCAGACTGCCGTGACACAAAGGCTGGAAAAACTTTCACCCAGGAACAAAAAGAGAACAATGGACGTGGGAATGGGAACCGGAATTCAGGCCGAGCACACATCAGTGAAGATCGATCACATCAATCAGACGATGAAGACGATTACGCACTTATGGCACTTCCACGCATGTCCAATATAACTACGGACACATGGCTGGCAGATAGTGCAGCAACCAAACACATTGTACGGAATAAAATCGATTTTTCACTCTATCACGAGACCCCTGGCCACATTGTTGCCGGATTTGGATCACTACCAAGCCCCGGAAGAGGGACAGTTCACATCACATCACATGTTGGCAAATCTGCCTACCAACTGAAGCTCGAGAATGTATTGCATGTGCCAAACACCCCATACAATTTGCTCTCAATTGGAGCAATGACTAAAGCCGGACTTTCTGTCCAGTTTCAGGGGGAGGAAATGAAAGTATTTACCCCTGCACCCAAACCGCGTGAAATTATTCACGGCACACGACACGGAAACCTCTACGCTGTCCGCATCATGCACAGCCACCAAGGTGCATCGAAAAAACATCCAGACACTGCCTTTCCTGCCACAAAAACCCCGGCACACTCATGGGACAAATGGCACCGAATTTTTGGCCACATTCAGCCAAAATATGTAAAACTGCTCAAGGACAAGGAGATGGTACAAGGGATGAATATCAACAGCACCACGGCACCATCAGAATTCTGCCAAACGTGTTCAAGGCAAAATCACACGTCCAACCTTTTGGGGCTAAGTCCGACACCAAATATAACGAAATTGGAGAAATGACATATACTGATGTATGGGGGCCTTCACGCGTCAAAGGAATCGATGGATCTCGATATTATGTGTCATTCACTGACGCTGCAACTCGACGCGTATCTGTGAGCTTTCTCAAAGCGAAATCTGAAGTCAAGGACAAAATTCGACAATATACACAATATATTCTCACACAAACGGGCAAACGCGTCAAATGTTTTCGCTGTGACAATGGGAAAGAGTACGTAAATGAATCAGTCCGTCAATATCTGGCAGATCACGGCATCCGGCTCGAGCTCACAGCGCCATATTCACCGGCGCAAAATGGGATCGCAGAACGGTTAAATCGAACGCTCATTGAGCATGCCCGTGCCATGATTGCACAGTTCGATTTACCGAAATTCTTATGGAACGAAGCAGTATCTTATGCTGCATTTTTAAAAAACCGATCCCCGACGCGCGCCCTTGGCAACCCGATCACCCCAGAAGAAGCATTCTGGAAGCGAAAACCAGACGTGTCAACGCTACAGGAATTTGGCAGCGCCTGCTGGGTCCCAGACCAGACAGGAAAACTCGGAAAATTAGAACCAAAAACCCGCCCATTTATTTTTACTGGTATCACTGATGAAACCAGGGCATACCGATACTACAAAAAGGACACACACCAGGTCTTAACAAGCCGAAATGTGATTTTTTCGCCGGATCAGACCCCAGAAAACTCCGAAATTTTAGAAGCCTCTTCGTTGCAGCTCGAGGGGGAGAAATCAGATGTTTCCGAGCACACAACTCCGAGGAAAACCCTGACACCACCTTCCTCACCACTTACGACACCACCTGATACGCCGAAAATTCCCCTTGAAGAACCTTACATCGCGCCCAGAGACATATCTAGCAAAATTGACCCGAAAAATATTATCACTGGAACACGTCGAAACCCAACCAACAAATCACCGGACGTCGCACTTACAGCCGCATCACGAGATCCCATCAGCGATGATCCATTATCGGTCGAAGATGCAAAATCTCGATCAGACTGGCCGCATTGGAAGAAGGCCATGGAGGAGGAGATAGGACAACTCAAAGAGTTAGGCATGTACTCCCTTGAGTCTCTCCCAGCCAATCGCACCACTATTGCGTGCAAGTGGGTATTCCGCATCAAACGCGATGACCGTGGGAATATATCACGATACAAGGCACGACTCGTAGCCAAGGGATTCTCACAGATCCCTGGCGTGGATTTCGACGAAACGCATGCCCCTGTTGTACGCATCGAAACAATTCGACTTCTTCTTGCACTTGCAGCACGTTATAATCTCAAAATACATGTTGCCGATGTCATTGGTGCATATTTAAATGGGAAACTTGAGGAGGAAATCTATATGCAACAGCCTGCATTTTTCCAAGATGGAACCACACGTGTCTGCCGCCTCTGGCGCACAATCTACGGCCTTAAACAGTCTGGCCGAGTCTGGAATCTCACGCTAAATGCATCCTTCCTCAAACTTGGTTTCACACGTCTCACCTCGGATCAATGTGTCTACATCCGACGCAATGGCACTGACATTGTCATCATAGCCGTCCACGTTGACAACATGACAATCCTTGCATCGTCTAATCAACTGATGAATTCAATCGAAAAAGAACTCAGCACTGAATTTTCAATTAAACTACTAGGAGAAATTCGACAACTTCTCGGCATGGAAATAACACGCACACCAGAGTATATCCAACTCACACAGACCCAATACATCACCAAAATATTGGAAAAATACCGTATGGACACCTGCAACCCCTGCCAAACCCCTCTCGACTCAAACGTCCGACTCCATTGTCTCCCCGACAACCAATCTTACCCCGAAATTGCACATGTATATCAAAATATGATTGGATCATTAATATATGCTGCCATTACCACGCGGCCCGACATTTCGTTCGCAGTACAAACACTCTCACAATTCAATTCCAACCCTGGACCCGAGCACTTCACTGCCGCTAAACGTGTATTTCGATATTTACGTGGGACAACTGACCTGGGCATTCGATATTACTCAAAAACTCGCACCACACTCGAGCTATTTTCCGATGCTGATTGGGGAAGCGACCCCGAGACACGTCGATCTGTCACCGGCTACGTCGCCATGCTTTCAAATGGCCTGGTTACCTGGAACTCGAAGAAGCAGCCTTCCGTAGCTCTATCGAGCATGGAAGCTGAATACATGGCCCTTGCCAGCGCCACTCGAGAAGCCATTTGGCTTCGTTCCTTATTCACGGAAATCGGAATCGACACCTCGTTACCTACTCATATCAACGTTGATAATATGGGCACAATTATGTTTGCCCATAACTCTGGATTCCACGCTCGTTCCAAACACATCGACATCAGATATCATTTTATTCGAGACGCCATCAACTCACACAAGGTCTCGGTCTCTCACATCCCAACTGACGAGAACACAGCAGATATTTTCACAAAAGGACTTGCACGTAACAAGCACGCACATCTGACCAAATCACTCAGTATGTATCGTGCTTGAGGGGGAGTGTTGTAGAATATACGAGATCAATTACTTATCATTACTAAGCTTACTTAGTAATTACTAACGACCTCAGGATTATTCTATAACATTCTAGATATTAGTTACTCATAGTATATATAGGAGCAGCAGTTTACAGAATAAAGTTAAGTTCTCATCTTATTACTTCAACAAATATTCATGATTTTCTCGTCGCTGATATGGAAAAGGAATGACAGAAGAAAATAGCTTTAAATAGAGAGTATTTACAGAGTAAAAAGGATCAGAAAGCTGCAGATAAATTAATTGGGGACTCCTACGTATTTATGGCTTGTGGAGAAGGAACCACGTCAACAAAGACCGAAAAGGGGAGCATCGCTGATAGGCTGGCTACCAGACGCGCTCTGCACCAACTCTGTAAGGGCGTATTTTTGCGCTTTTTACAGAGTTTACTCTCGAACCACTCGGTGTATCGTGTCGCGGTTGACAGTGTTGCGCTCAGTAGGACTTAAGGGTCTACTGCCCAGTCGACGACTGTGGATAGTGTCGATGATAGCAAGGCAGTCAGACCACTACTGTGGAACTGGCCTTATGAGTCTATACCAGGCTCAGGGCTATTAGTGACGAACGCTTGGACCGCGACCATTCCCCAAAAGGGGATCTGTCGTTGCGTCGACTTCTCAAAAAGGGTCATTCTCTGCAGATGGATACTTGGGCTGAAGGGCTGAGCAATGTACGACGTTCTCAATAATACGACCACTACTGGACAGGACTTGACGTTACGAGATTGAACCAATCTTGTCGCGGCAACTCCCGGTCTTGAGTTGGACGTTTCCTCAGATCATGCCACGACGACGACTTGTCACATGTCAGGATCCATTCGATCACGGGACATTGTGGACGCGTTGCGGTGACACTTCCAAGTGTCGCGGTGACACTTCCAAGTGTCACGGCGAGTCGCGTCCATACCCAAATACACTAAAATCGACACGGCTAGATCCGTGAACCGAGCCATGTGGGGGACGACTGGCGTGCCTAGGGCCATACGGCTTCTTGGGACGCCCACGTTGGTCTCACTTGCCAAGACATACCCGTTGGCCAATCCAACACGTCGTATTCCAAAAAGTATGACGCGGCGAGTTGGCCCACATCAAAAGTATCATATGGACAATGGGGCGGGGTCCTGATCACTCAGGACCTGTCCGATCGTCCAACTTTTCAATTACTCTAAAAGGAAACTGATCTTAGATAGCGTAGCTACTATGCAGTTGTACAGGACTTTACTAAGCATCGTCGTAGACAGTATAAGTAGCACGTCGTTTCTTTGTATTAAGAAGCTTTTCCCCGGACTGTGAATCACTCTCATTTCAGATTGTTTTGTACAATTTGCGTGCCGCGTGATTCCACCCTAAGAAGTTCTGCTAGCCCTGCCCGGTCGCGACGAGTTGCTCCCTGAGCACTTGTAGCTACTGTGATTTGAGTTTGAGTTGAGACATCAGAAAGTCGGATTCGCCGCATCTGGTTTAGTCGCGGCATTTAGTGTCGTCGCCTTCGGGCTTTGTTGAGATCGTTTCCACACCTCTAGCTTGGCAGTGCGTCGACTAGTTGTGCTCGGGTTGTTTTGGTCAGTTGGCAGTGCGTCGACTTGAGAACTTTGGTTCCACACTTCTTGCTTGGCAGTGCGTCGACAAGTTGTGCTCGGTTTTTGGACATTGGATATTGGCCGTTAGTTGGCAGTGCATCGACGCGGCATCTTGGTTCTACTAGTTGGCAGTGCGTCGACTCAGTATATTGGTTGTATCAGTTGGCAGTGCGTCGACTTGATATTTGGGCCTTGCGTCACCATCTAGACGCTGTCGCTACAAGGGATCTTAATACT